TCACGAGTGTGTGAGTGGTGTGTTTGTTGGATTGCAACTCAGCAAGGGGAATCTTTGTAAACAATGGTATGGGGAAAGTTTTTGCGGGCGGGAGTTGGGAATCAAATACAGGATTAGCGGAGAGTCCATTGTAGTCCTAGACAAGATTATCGTGAAAAACACCTTGGAGGCGCGGGGGCGTGGATACTACTTACAAAAGGCTTCACAGGGAGTCTTCAGGACATTGGACCACATAAAACCAATACAAATTTTATTCTAACATTCTAACATCTCCCTTTGTTACTTGTCTTCGGTAGATCATTCGGTCTAGTGATGCGAAAAACTGGAGGAGTACACAATGAGTGTCATTTATTTGGAGAAATTTGTAAGGACTGGCCAGCCAGCATCCTCGTTAATATACTTAACAGGTCCATGAATTCGTCGACGTAACGCAGCACAAAGTAATGTAAAACAACGCCTAGTATATCAGCGGAATGTAACGGTTACGGAGAGAGGAGTCAGTTATATGTAATATCAGATGTCGGAGGTTAAGTAAGAGAAGTTTCAAAGAATGGTTAAATATGACTCGGAAACAAAGACAAGAAAAACGCTGCAAACTTTTCCGAATTGGAAAACAATTGCACGTCGAGTTTATATCGAACTAGTTACATGGTGGACCCTGATCATCAACGGAAGCTTTCGGAAGTCTTCGCCACCACTTTGTCGTATCCGGACAATCATCGTACTTCCGTTCTGCGTAATCTTCCAGGGAATATCACTGGGATGTAAAGGAGATAAAAGGACTAAGTTAATTACACATGAATAGATAGATTTTTGATAATGGTAATCTTGAATTACGAGAAATGAATAGAATTTTATATATTATATATTTACATATACTGTTATGTATGAATTAATGCCAAATTGGCTCAAGGTACATGTAATCTCCTTCTTGGGGAACAAATAAGCCTAAAAAAATCTAATTATATACAGTTAAACTACGAGAAGAAATTCTCCTGTAATTCATAAGGTAAGAGAAGAGAATGATAACGAGAATGATCTGCGCGTAAACTGGAAACGAAAAAGGGGAGAATGGGCGGATTATTTTTTTATTTTCGTTCGCTAATTTTTTCTTTCTTTCCTTTTTTTTTTTTTTCCTATTCCACCTTTACCTTTTTAGGTCTTTTGATTTATTGGAAAGGTCAATCTGAGAAAGGTGAACTGCTTATGGCTTAATGTATAGTAAAAGTTTGCCGCGTAGAGCGAAGTCCGCCCGTTAGAATTTTTTTCGTTTGAAGGGATTTGTTAATGAAGAAACTAATCGCCGGTATAAATTTATTTGTAGGCGTAAATGAGGTCATTTTGAAGGGTTCCAGCATGTATCTCTTGGTTTTAAATGCGTTATGTTTTCTTTGGAAACGAGGAAACGTCGAGGTCGTTGCCAAGCCATGATATCCAAAGTGAGCGTTAGAGCGAAGTAGAAAACCTTGGGTGTAGCTTGTTTTAGTTGAAATTTAGACGAGTGCAGCGAGTGATGTAAATATGTTTTTTTGCCCTATTACAGCTCTTTAATGCGCTGGTCAGTCAGCTTTAAACACATAACAAGCTAAATACGCTTATTTCCATTTTGTGCATTGAAATTCGATGGTTGTTGATGCTCTTTTCGATCTCCTTCACGGAACGCGCCTCATACGCGTTTCAGTCAAAGTGCGAAAGTGATACTCTACTTCTATGTTGGACAACTTGTAAGACAACTTTAATAATAGAAAAAAAATCAGTAACTTCTCATTGAATACCTTACTGAATTCCTCTATGTTTTTTTGTTATATTTTTCGCAAGAAATCCCAGAAAACCTCGATGATTTTATGGGAAGTTCTCCATGGGGTGATGTCCATTTAATTTCTTTCCCTTAAATTTAACGGAAATATTTTTACGGTAAACTTTTCTCACGACTATCGGTTAAAATTTGCCGTTTCTTTTTACCTTTAAAGGCTAACGTTAAACCCCGTCGAGGCCCTCCTGCGGCACTCTTAGTGCTTGGCTTCTGTATTTGTCACAATTACAAGTTTTTAAAGTGTTTTAAAGGTTAACGTTTCTAAGTAAAGAATTCATATTATTTTCATATTTTAGAAACGAGTGTAGAAATGGCATTCTCTCCTTAAGTAAAGTTTTGTAAAGAATTTCAGGATTTTGAACCAAGGGTTTTAATTTCATACTTATATCTTCTTTTGAACAGAGAAAATATTAAAGTGGTCTAGTACCGAATATTTTAATTATCATTGGTTGTGTCTTTCTTGACTTAACTTTATATAGCACTTGACGCAAAAAGTATCTGAGATGTTATTCATTGAATCAATTTAGATGCATTTCGCTCAATTGAAGGGCACCCGCTTTCTACAATCAGCTAAAAAAGAATTCTGAGTACATTTTGAACAAGAAATACGTATTGAAACTGGATAAAGATGTGTTCGTCATGACACGACAAAGAAAACAATTTGGAGGCCCCATGAGGAGTCAAATCTGAGACCTTTGGATTCCGTGTTTAAATCCTCTACTACTGAGTCACAGATACTCTAGTGTGAGCTGGGCCCCTACGGGATTCATATCATTATGTGACACGCGTCCCACATACTGCCAGGATAAGCTATGTCAAAAGCGTGATATAAGTGTAAGGATTAAGAGAGATATATTTCAGCTTGGTCATAAAAAAGAGAAAGTGCCTTATGCATTTTAGCTTGTTTAGAATGTTGACACTGTTTTGTAAGAAGAAATGAAGATGACCACGTGCCTTGGGTGTGGCAGTGCGTTTGCCATTAGACTTCCACAAAGCCATGAAATGAACATACGCACCTATTATCATTATCATTACAATTATTATTGTTATTATTAAGATTATCTTCCTGGGATGTACTTGAGGTGCTGCACATTACAGTCAAACTTTAATTTTGTGTATTTTTGCTTTAAAAAGGTTGAAAGTATTATTCCTTTGATCCCTAAGAGAGACAAGCATTTAGTTTGTCCTCACAATATCACCCCTGAATCAAACAATAAGATCACAAAAAAAGTCTCCTATTCAGCACCCTTGGAGATGAATAGAAGACTTTCTAAAGAATATGCCTAATGATTTTCGGGTTTAAAGGTTTTTAAGGAGACATGTCATAAATAATAAATGAGAAGTCATCGGATGTAACAAGACCACATATACTTTTCACAATCCCTCTTATATAACTTAAGCAGAAGTCTACCGAGGTAACCTTTTCAACACCAATCTGTGATTATTCTCTTCAGTCCCTCTCCACTTGTCTGAGTTCAATGCAGACACTTTCTGGCTAATTTGTTGGACAAGAACTCTTGCTTCAGCCTGTCACATTTGGACATTTGAGACCCACACAATACCAAACTGTCTATTGATAGTTAGCTGTCACTTAACTTTACTGTACAATTTTGTACACCACCATCCATTTCAATACACTAGCATATTTGATCAAATCTAGTGCCCAATTTTGGGCCCAAGAGTTCAATTTTGGACACTGGTGTAACATAGATATCTATTTTTTTTCTTCTTTTTTGGGACACTCGTCCATTTTCAAACACTATCATCCTTTTTTCAGATACTAGTGTCCGCCTTTTAACCCTTTATACCTTAACATCAGTAAGTATATTCTCCATACTGTTCTCTATACATTTCCTAAGGAGCTGGCAAGGAGAATTTGTTTAAAAATCAAGAGTTTCTTCACTTGATTATCATTTCCTTTATTCTCATAACCTTAATGCTTGATTCAGGGGTGATATTGAAAGGAGAAATTAGATGCTAGTCACTCTCAGGGATTAAAGGGTTAAATACGAATGGTTGTTTTAGTAAAACAGGGAGGTAATACCACACAAAAAGAAGATTTTAACTCTATAAAACTGCAACTATTGCTGCAGCGATAGTTTCAGGCACAAATATGGCACGAGTTTCTGGGAGGTGAATAGCAAAGGATATTCGACGTTTGTAAGCCAATCAGAGCACACCTTTAACTGCTGTTTCAGTACATAGTAAAACTATTATCCAATGTTTTAGATAACCAGCATCCCATTTTGAAAACTAATGTCCATTTTCAGGTAACAGTGATCAATTTTAGACAAAAGTGACCATTTCTTGTATATCACATCATGCCAAAGTAAACATAGACTTCACCATACATGTCATAATATGTACATATGTATATTTAATTCAGTCATGGACATCTGTGTTTTATTTACAGTAAAATTGTCTTGCAATGAGTAATACCAGACAGCCAAATCAGACAAGTGACTGAATGAGAATATGTTTATATATAAAAAACCTTCAAGTTTATGTTCATGTCAGTATCAAAGTAAACAAAATGCTCATAAGACTGCTGATCAACTGGTCAGGTGGTTCATATGTCCCTGTTAAAAAATAAAAAAATACTAGTTATCAATTGGCAATGGCACAGAAGAAAGGAAAAATTTGTCTTTGGGGTGAGAGGTGTTCTTTGAAGAATACATTGCTGGATGAGGCAATACTGACTTTATAAAAAAGGGACTAGAATGGGCATCCCAGGATTAAATGTTCATTTACAATTTTCTCATCTTGAAAAGCTTCCAAATTGTTCTTTAAAACTGACATTTAGTAATAGGATAATTCATCCTGCGATTAAAGAGATCTGTATACTCTAATTGGTTAAAGATAATATCATTTCTTACTGCAGAATAACTGTGCAAGGTTTTAATGAAAACAGCTGATGTCATTTGCTCAGTAAATGTACTGCCTTCAGTTTTTGATCGGCAAGTGGTCATCATAGCATGGAAATCAAACTTTAAAAGACCTACCGCTTCTCCTCTCAAGCAGCGAAAGCAGGATGCTGAAGATGAATAATACTGAGCTATGATGGGTGGGACCTGCCAGAGAAGTGCAAAAAATGAAGCCATTGTTATATATAATATCAGGATAAATTTCTTTTACTGCTTGTAGGGGAAAATGCACACACTCTTTATTGAAAAACATCATAAACAAATCTCTCTATGAGAGCTTTCCATAATGGCACAAGGAGGTCAGGAAAAGCTTTTCTGTCTAGCATATAGCTCTGTGAGAAGAATAACAAAAGAGAAGAGAAAGAAAGAAACAGAGTTGCAGTGTTATGATAAATTTCTTATAGACTTACTGAAAAATATTTGACTCAAGGGTCATGACACATGCATTGAGCATAGCTCAGACTGCACAACATGACAGACCTTGCTCAACCTAAGTCAATAGGTACACAATATATACTCTTTCATGGTTTCTAGAGCATATTCATCCTTCAAAAACACAAATTAACTCACAGAAAAGGTCTGCTGATGGAGTGCTCTACTTGTTGTTGTTGTTGTATCACATGAAATGTCCATTTCCTGCGACTGATTCTCTTGATTCAATATGTTACAGTTAATGTCCTTGAAGCTGTGTCCAGTGAATGAAGTAGTGTAAGGGTCAGATGACGATGGAAAATTACTATCTGGTCGTTGATGTGTTAAAACTATGGGCATTGTGCAACTTAAGGATCTGTTCTCTGATCCCTCATTGCAAGCTTTATCCAAACTCCAGTAACAGTCTTCGAGACATGGTCGCTTCTATAGATATGGCAGAGACAAATTATATTTTTTACGGTGGTTGTGAATCTATCAACTCTTTACACTCTAACATCAGTATTTATATTCTTATCCTTAGAGTTTAAAGGTTTAATTTACCTTTGGAAGTCAGTCGATCTCCTTAGATCGATTTTCCTGTAAGAGTAATAATCAATTTTTTGGGCTCGAAGGAAAAATCCCCTCGGAGGAATAACTGAATAAGTGATTTGATCATTTTCATATTGTTAATAATATGCAATATTATGGCATTTTTCATGGAAATCTGGGACGACTATAACTTCAAAATAATTCGTAAAGTACGTTGAAAGCGAAAGTAGATTAAAACAGAAAAAAGATTCTCAAAACACGTGTTGTAAGTATCCATCAATGTTTACCTTCGATTGTGTTTCTGAACAGCTCTCCGGAGCCGCTTGCCGCTTTCTCGCAAAGTTACAAGAATTCACTGCATCAAAAGTAAGTTCTACTTCCATATTCAGACAGATCAAGGATCAATTTGTGTTACTTAGCTGGTGCATTGTTTACAAATCTCCAAACCGTCTGAATATTCAAAGTATCACTCGCCTGATGCATGATGGTCGCTCAAAAGGGATTGTTCAGTGTATCTTATTCGAGCTACAGATTACTATTTTCCTCTCCAGTCCACCTCCAGTATTCAGGCAAAAATATGGCGGTCAGTTGTCGATTTCCAATTCTCTAGTTTACATTCAGAAAAGCAAGAACAACTACAGTGAATGGTTTTTTTATGGTGCTTGAGAATGAAGAAAATTCTATGTTCATCTCTTACCTCATCATAAGAAACAAAATTTAGCTTGAATAAGCTAAAACTGTTCTGATCACTTCCGGCTTTGGTGTGCATGTGTGCTTTTGCAGGATTTTCCAACTCGTGGTGAATGTTTGAAGGAAAAATCCACAATGTCTAAACGCAAAAATGAAGATCCAGGTCTAGGTGGGATCAAGCATTTCAAAAAGGAAAAAAGTAAGTATACAATGTAAATTGAAATAGAGATCTAGAGTAGAATAGTCTGATATGAATTTCACACTTGCGATCCTTACGTTCAATCGATAGTGCATCCCGCATTAAGGTTCAGCAAGTTTGTGCAACTATTAAAATCTGAGATCCACTTCGTGCGTGGTCTGTAAATAACAATGAACGTTTCAATACAATTGACGTTTTTTCTACCAAATTTCACAATCTCAGGGATCTTGCAACGACCGAAGCAAATCCCAATTTTTCTGTAGAATGAACCAGGTAAGAATGCTAAGGGAGCAACCTGAGGATGGTGACTAAAGAGGCCCCCTTTTCTTTCTTCATGGTTAGAACCACAGACTTCCAGATTGAGGGTCCAACAAGCTCTTCATTCAACCATAGGGGCCAAGATTCTTAATCTATCTTTAACTTTTTCACTTAAAAAAAAATTATATGTGAAGCCTCCAGTAGATTAAACACATATACTCAAACAAAAAAGAGACACTTCTTCTTTTATGAAAGGGCAGCCAAAGATCAGCAGTCCCACTTGCCAAGAGAAATGCAGGATTGTTTCTTGGTAGTACCCTGTCCCACTCCCTGACCATGCCTGTGAAACTGGCTAATTGATTTGTGATTGTGTTTGGTTTGATGTGCATTAGTAATTTCTAGTGGTTTGTTGTGAGTGTTTTTAATCTGTAGACCACACTGAAAGCTTCCAAGACACCTATAATTGTTTCACCTCATTAAGTAATTTTTTCCATCATGATAGGCTGTAAGAAAAGGTGATACTAAGATAACGTTAATAGGAAATATCCATCAGAAAACAGATACAAATCAAATGCATTCAGTAATTGAATTATCATGTACTTTCAGATCTCTCCAGCAGTGATTCAGATGAGGACGTTTCTTCACCATCATATGCAAACTTCCTACAGTATGATCAGAAACCTGTCTTCAGTGATGTTGTCAAGAAACAGATGGTATTGATATTTACATTATTATATTTTGCACCTGAAAAACAATAATTTGGATGAAAGCCGTCTATATATTTCTGAAAGAAAAGAATTTTGAATCTAATAAATAAAGACCTTCCATGAATAATGGAAAATTCATGAAACCATTAGGTCTCATTGTTCATGGATCATGCATTTTATGTGTTAATGTTTTTGAAATCAAGTGTATCATTCTCATTTTATCTTATGAATGTTAGCTGCCTGTTTTAGAAAACAAAAACCTACCCAGACTACTCTGTGTAACTGACAGAGATAGATATTTCCCCTCTAAATGAGTTTATTTTTTGACAAATCAGAAAACACAAAATTTGTTCTTTGTGCCATTAATTTTTCTTCAAAAGACATCATATAAAACAGAGATGGTATTAACCCTCTAAATCCCAAGATCTGATTGTAATTTCTCCCCTCTAGCTGCGACTCATTTCCTAGTAAATTAGTTATGGGAATTTGGTTTAGATCAAGATAATAGGTTTAAGTATTCTTATTACCTGTTTGCTGGATAATTCATTTATATTGTAGGAAGATGGTGCATGTTAATCACTTCTGGGAGTTGAAGGGTTAACCTTTTAAACCCGCAGAGTGACTTGCATCTAATTTCTCCCAACAATATCACTTCTGAATCACACATTAAGGTCATGAGAATAAAGGAAATGGTCATCAGGGAAGGAACCTTTTCATTGGCAAACAAATTCTCCTTGTCAAGCAAAATATTATTTGCTGAAGTTAATTGAATTTTTACTCAAAACATTTAAAAACAATTTGCTAATTTTTTTCAGGTGAGAATGGGCTATAAACAGGAATTTGGTCTTGGAAAGTCAGAACAGGGAAAGTCTGAGCTTTTAGAGGGTAGTAGGGAAAGAGATCCTATTAAAGATGAGATGAACAGTAACCCTCTACCAGGATCTGGATACAGTACATTTGCTAAAAAACAAATGGTATGAACTGATTCAAATGTGTTAGAATGGTACTGACTCTTGTTCTGTTTTTAGTGATACATGATGAGTGTACTGGGAGGTTGGGAAATTCTTGCACAAGCAAAACCAAAAGATTTTTTTTTTTAAAAAACACTCTGCACTCTCGTAAGAAAATAGGCAAATGTTACAACAAATTTATGTGGTAATATTTTTCTTAATGACAATCAGAACTGAAACAGGTATATATTGCTAACTAAACTTGACAATGATTTTCTTTGCCACTATTTACTTCCATAGGAAAGAATGGGCTTTAAAGAGGAAGGAGGTCTTGGCAGATATGGACAAGGAAGATCTGACATTATTGAGACTTCTCAACAGCGTGGAAGGCGTGGTCTGGGTTTCAGGGTTGAAGGCTTTGATGACAAAGATTTTTCATGGGAAGAGGAAGAGGAGGTCAGAATTCTTGTTTTAAGTATAACTCTCAATTAACACATCTTATTTGCTTTAAGTACTACAGTGTATAATCCATGCTTGTCACATAAATCATATTATATTGTTATCTTATCTTGGATTTTTTGTTTTGTTGTTATTATTATTGTTATGATTTTATTATTATCCATTGTTATTTTTTTATTAATGTTTTTCTGCTAGGTAGTCATAGTAGAGCCCAGGACATGCATTCCATCATGTCCCAGACCTCCGCCAACAAGAGAAGAGATGGAAGACTGGGTTGGAGTTAGTAAGGTAAAATTATAAAGTTGGGCAATGCCTTCTCATTACAGCAAAATTAGATAAATTCTTGGAGACTGATTATTGTAGCAGAGGTTTCTTTAGAGATGGCTTTGAATGCTAGTTACAGGTAAAAAGGTAATTTCTATTTAATTGAAATGATTTAAATGGAATACTCCTTTTCTTCTAAATATTTATAATTACTAGCCAAAAAAATTTTGAGTGAAATGATTACAGGAAAACAAATTGCATATTTTTCCAGCTACCCAAGATATAGTTGTACACTGAAGATACTTAACATTTCAGATCACAACAAGTCAGTAGTGAAGAACAGTATGTTAAATTATTTGAATTATTAATTGTTTACTGAGTATACAATTGAACATTGAATGTGTTTTACCCAATTTCTAGAAAAAATTGTTTATTGATGATGAAACAGAATTCTGCAGTGAGGAGGTTCTATCAGAGGTTCTCAAGAGCAAGGTAGAGTTTCCTAGATGTTTTCCAGTATTAAGAAAAATCTTTTGTTTAGTTCTCTCTTGATTCTGACTTCTGTTCAGATTTGAAATTGAGAGGTAGTAACGGAAATGGTGCTTTCTGGAAGTCATCATCAGAGTCAAGTGGCTGACTTTTGGACAACCCGAGCAGAAGTCATTATCCTAGTCAAGTAACTGACCTTTCAACAACCCGAGTGGAAATCATCATCAGAGTCAAGTGACTGACCTTTTGACCTTTCAACAACCTGAGTGGAAATTATCATCAGAGTCAAGTGACTGACTTTTCAACAATCTGAGTGAAAGTCATCATCAGAGTCAAGTGACTCTGATGATGATTTCCACTCAGGTTGTTGAAATGTCAGTTACAACCACTGATAACATCTCAGGACTGCACTGTACCGGACAATGAAACTACACTTTCGCATGTTACCCAATGGTTTAACAATTTACCATTAATAATGTCGTTAAATCCTGTTTACAGACTGTTTTCGATGCTCTTAGTGGAGATGAGTTCCTCAAAGCAAGAACACGAGCCAATCCATATGAGTTTATTAGAGGGGCTGTCTTTCAAAACAGGTAATGCAAAGAAGACTGCGACCGCTCTAATGTCATGGGTCAGTGGGTTTAATGTCAGTATCTGAGCAACTAGCCACCCACCCCTTCCTTAACCTAATACTAAGCCTAACTTGGAGGCGTTGGTGTGCAGTTGCTTGGATACTGACATTGATTCCTGCATTCCCTAAGTGTGAAAGCTAATTCTCTTACCTAGTGATGACTGCATTTCCTGGTTGTATAGTTCAGAGAATTTAGCTTCACATTAGAGCATCCTCTTCATGATATTATTTTGGCAATTTTTGTGACCTTCTTTGTCAGTAAGGTATTAAAATATAGTGACAGTGTATGTGTTGATCACTTTTGGCATCAATGATAGATGAAGCCTGTCATTTTCAGAACTTCTGTCAATGATGTGTTATTTTTCTTATTAACAGGGCAGCAATGAAAATGGCTAATATGGACTCTGCTTTTGACTTCATGTTTACCAACCCAAAGAATGACAGAGGAGTACGTAATGAAACATGTTACACCCTTTGATTCTGTAATTAACCCAAGGGCTCTCAATCCCTTATACCCCAGCATCAGTAAGCATATTCTCCATACTGTTCTCTATACATTTCCTGAGGTGCTGACAAGGAGATTTTGTTTACTGAATAAAGCTTCTTTTGTTGGTAATCATTTCCTTCATTCTCATGACCTTAACATGTGATTTAGGGTGTGATATTGTAGGGAGAAGTTAGATGCTAGTCACTGTTAGGGTTTTAAAGGTTAATCCTTCTCTCCTTGGGGAAGGGAAGAGTAGTCAAAAAAATTTTGTTTTTGTGCTAAGAAGCCTGGCACTCAATTAACTCTTTATACCTTTACATCAGAAAGCATATTC